AGATGGGCTGTAAACAAGGAACAGACTAAGAAGAGAAGAGAGCAGATTGGTGCCTTCTGGTGCCCTGACAGGGAGCTTGAGAACAGGCTCTGGATAAATGGCCTTTGCCAGTTGGAGATCAGGGCAATGAACACAATTGGGTGCCCATGGGGCCAGGGATTTAGCTCAGTGGTTCTGCCGCCTGCCCCGCAAGTGCAAGGACCTGAGTTCGATCCCTGGTACCCAAAACAAAACAATTGGGTTCCCATATGTGCTGTCAGTTAGCAAGTGACCTGATGGTGGGCAGGGAAGCAGCATGGCATAGCAAGAGAGGCATGGGTGTCTCTACTTCCAGATCTAAGGAGAATTTGATCTGAATTTCTACAAGGCCACTGGACGGATATTAGTATAGTCTGAGGGTGGGGTGACTAGAGCAAGACTTAGTTTCTAGACGTTTTCCTTATGCTTTTCTTACCATACAGACTCCAGTGCAGCTTCTGCTCAGGGAGCTCACACATTCTTTTCTGCTGCACAGAGGATTACATCATCAGTGAATGTTGGGAAGAGTAGTTCCTGGCTTCCAGGTCTCTGGGTGGGGCTAAGATGTGTCATTTACCGGAGGCCCTGGCTTTACCTTTTAAGGTATTCCAGTGCTGGAGAGTGTGCTGTGTTTTCCTGCACTCCTGCCTGGAGAACAGGTATTCAAAAGGCACCTTTCTTGGGTAAACAGAACAGTCTTATGCAAAAGGAATGGGACCGAAACTTGGCTGGCAAGTAACCACACAGCTGAGGGAGAGGGCCCATGGCCTTGCTGGGATCACATCACCCCCATGTGACCAACATTGACCTGCACCAGTGATATTGATATCCTTGATGACATTCCTGGGCCAAACAGCTGCCTGAAAGCAGATGCTGGAGTCCAGCTGGGTGTCCCTTGCATTTTGCTAGGAGGTAATGAAATTTTATGATTTTCAGGGCCCATTTTTCCAGCTCCTGCTGCAATGAGCATTTCAACAAAGGGACTTCGTGGGAAGTACACACAGAAATAGCAAATGAGGGCTCACAGGTAGCATTTACAGTGTGCTTTCTGCAGCCTGTGGCAGAGGACTGGCTGCCTGACTTTTCCCTTTCCAAATGTTGAGCCCGGACTTGCTTGATGTCAGCTCAGGAGATCTCAAGGGCTTTAGGGTCATGTTAGAGTCTCTTCCTGGGCCAGGGCCATGTGGGTCAGCAGCAATGTTTATGGTTTAGGGACCTATGCTTTAAGAGGCTCCCCTGGCCAGGAGCCACATTCTAGCCTGGGATGGAAGAGAAATGTCTGGTGCTTTTATGAAGATTCATTAAGCAGCCCATTTACCTACTCTGTGAGCAGAGGTGACTTTGGAGGAGAAGAGAATTGTCACCCGTTTAGTTATTCTCAGCACCAGGGAACCACAAAGGCCCAGCCTTCTGTTGGCTCCACATGCCTGCCTCATACTTCATAGCTCTCAAACAAGCAAGATGCTAACTTAGCTGTGTTTACATCTCTATTTGAGACCCCAAGGGCAGTGACTTTCTCACTCATATAGCTTCAGGGTTCACCATATAGTGGGTGTGAGAGGTTGAGACTTTATGGTCCAGATAGATCTGCATGTCCTGGAATACCCTTGGCTTTGTTTCTCCACCATTGCATGTCTCACCCTAAATAACCCCTTGAAAGCCTTTTGTGGAGTCTAAGTGCTAACTGTGACCAAACTCTTCACCTGCTTCAGGCTTTAGTCCCCCCATATCAGACCCCAGATCTAAATAGTGAAGAGTCATTTTTCCCTACATCGTATCTCTGAGCCAAAGTTAATTTGTAAAATAGAATATTATCAATCATAAAGTTGTTTGAGGACTAAAGGTATTGCTGTATGGAAAGTGCTTAAAACACAGTTATATATATATATATACACACACACACACACACACACACACACACACACACACACATATGTATTTCTTTTTCCCCACTTACTGGAGTTCTTTGGAAGTTTGTTTTTTTTTTTTTTTTGGGTGGGGCAGGGCTGGGGATCAAAGCCAGGGACTTGCAGTTGCTAAACAAATGTTCTTCATTGAGCTATATCCTGGCCCTCTGGAAACATTTTGAACAATTTTAAAGAAGGCTGTACAAAGTCTAAGGGCAGCTGACTGCTGACTGCTGACCTCCCTCTGTCCAAACTGGTACTAGAGTGACAGTAGGTAGGCTAGCCCAAAGGTTAGAGCAACAAGGACTCCCTAGATAGAAGGCATCTTCCAGAATGACACCCAGCAGCACCTGCCCATCAATCCTCCCACCCAACCCTTGTTTTCGTCGATGACTCTTGCCACACCAGCACACCTGGGTCCCTCTACATGCCCACACTATACTCACACCCACACACGCACACTAATCCCCCTCTGTGGCACATTACACACATCCATATACAGAAACCTCCCAGTCACACATGTACATATGCTTCCACACAGCTGCCTGGAGCTGTGCATGTGCTGGGATGCCGTCATCCTGTTCTATGCACACACATGCATACATGAGTTACACAGAATGGTGAACACACAAGACACCATGCATCTGCACAGCACAGCTACAGGTGGGACCCTGCACTCTCCGTTCCCCTCCAGTTCCTAATCCTGTCCCACCTCTCCTACAAAGAATAGAGCTTCAAGTTGGTAAGGGACCTTAGCAACCATCCAGTGCAAACATTTTATTCCATTATTGAATACACTGGGGAGGTGACCTGCTAAAGGTTACACAGTAAGGAGTTCCATTTTTTTTCACCCATCTGCATGTGGGCGCTGTGTTTGATGGGTTCACCCTTGCTCCTCTGTCGAGTCTGTCCAGCAGTGGAACTGTGAGGGAGGCATACTCTGTGTAGCTGGAGTGGGAAGGAGGAGAGGAGCAGAGCTTAGGGAAGGTGGGCCTGTGCAAGTTCTGCAGGCCAAGAAGGCCCAGTGGGGTTGATGAGACCAGCGAGACAGGCACAGAGGACTCAGTTGGCCTAGGCAGGAGGTCCCTCAGGATTGGAGTTGAAGCTGGCTTCTGCACTGGGGAAGGAGGAAGGCTGGAGCTGGTGTTTGGGCTTCAGGATCGGACTCTGGACACAGGCCCTGCTTGACAGCTGTGTGATGTCACAGCATAGAGGGTTGGCTGGAGCAGTTGCACATTCTGGAACTTGCCAGTGCTCTCTCTGACTCACAGTTCCATCAGAGGTAGCTGAGGGACTTGGCTTGATTCTACCTCTTATAGGAACCATTTCAGACCACTCTCTCAACACTCTTAATTATTTCTGGTGCCCTTTGAGGGGGGGCTTCCATTTGTGCTATGTTTTCTAGGACTGGGACTGGGAGATTAGAGATTCTCCCTGTTGTACTAACCTGGTCAGTGCTCTGTGAACACTTCCCTGTATGAAGAAGCGCAGTGGCCCTGTAGAAATGGAGATTCCCTCTATACTTGTATCTCTGATGGATAAGGATGTAATAAAAGGCTGGCCCTGGCCCTGGGACCTGACAACACTTCTACTTCACATTGCAAAGAATAACGCTAATGATAAATGCAGATAGTGATTATTTTGTGGCCAACAGTATTTTACATACATGAAATTGCTTAATTTTCCTGTTGACCTTGAGGCAAGTGCTCTTTATCATGCTTGTTTTAGAGATGTGGAAACAGGCACACAAAGGGTAAGGACATTGCTCAAGCTCACTCAGCTGGGAGGAAATAGAGTCCAGCTTTGGATTCAGGCAGCTCCAGACTGCTTGCAGCTCTGTGTCTTCTTGCTGAGTGCTATTTCCTGTCTTTGAAGCAGTGCATCAGCAAGGGCAGGTCTCTAAGCCTCAAAGGGACTCCATTAAGAAAGGAAAGCCATGGCAAAGGCTTTTTAAAACTTTAAATAATATTTATATATTCACTCCTTAAAGAATTCCAATAAATTCTTCAGGTGTGAGTCTTACCCACCAAAGCAGTCAATGAGCAATCTTTCCTTAAGCTTTGAGTGCTGAATGAGTTTATACTCATTAGCCATCAGTTTACAGATGTGCACAAGACATTTTCTGGGAGGCAGCTGTGGTTTGGTGAAATGAACACTAGAGATGCACACAGGGTTCAGATTGCAGTGAGAGAACCAGTGACTACATCTCCAGTTCTTTCATCTGCAAGATGTGTTGTTACAGTTGCACAGATAAAATTATTAAGGTCATGTGGATACAATTGCATCATGTAGGGGCCTACCACGAGCCTTGGCCCAATCTGACTGCTGTGTGCCAAGGGACAGAGAACCATCCTGGAGGCCCCAAGCTTGGTCCTCTTTCTGTTCCATGTGATTCTGAGAACCCTCTCACACTCTGGCCCCCGAAGAGGTTAACAGAGACACAGATAAGGCCCAAGGCTAGCTACATTGATTTATTGAAATCATAAAGCAAAGCAGAAATGAAGAAGGGAAAGGAGGAAGGGGAAAGGCTGGGGGCTCTAGCTACTGAGCCCATGGTAGCCCAGGAGCCCTGGCCCTGGTCCTGGTTGTTCCTGAGCCCCCTTCCTGTAGGCTCCAAGGGAACTTCTGGAGCAGTCCATCTCATTGCGGCACAAGCCCAGGATCGAGGATCACACAGAAATCCTGTCCTCTTGCTGCAGACCCCTGGGCTAGGCTGGTTGAGCCAGACACGTGGAGAGATCTGGGCCTGGGCTGGAGCTAGGGTGGTCTAATACTTCCTGCAGCTGCTGGTGCAGGAGCCCACGCCTAAGGAGCTGATGCCACAGGAGCCCACTCTGCAGGATGCACCAGAATTGCAGGGCGTGCACAGGCCAGTGCTCACTGCCACGTTCCCAGTGCAAGGGGCGCTGCAGACACTGCCTGCCACTGGCCGGGAGCCAGACACACAGAGGTCCCCACACACGACCCCACCCCGGGAGCTGCTGACACCTGTGGACCAGGAAGGTGAGGCAGAATTAGGAGTGGGGGAGCAAACCATCCACTTCCTTAAGGGACACCCCAGTCTAGTTTCTGAGCAGTGGGATTAAAGTCAGGGCATCTGCAGTTGAGGATTCTTCATTCAACTCCCAAAGCTGTGGTCTTTTTTTTTACTGTCTGGCCCCAAATTGCTCCTGCTGTAATACAGCCCATTCTTTTATGTTGGACTTTCACTGAGAATGTGCTTTCTAGATGCTGCCTCCCTCACAAAAGAAGTAAATCTGTCCATACTGAACCCCAAATACTTACAGACATTAACAGCACCAACGCCTTCACACAACCTGAGTGTGGAAAAGAGAAAAAAAAATTAGATAGTGGACCTGAGTTGTAAACAGAGTTCCTAAAAGTCAATGGGGGGGGGGCACAATAATTAAGGATTTAGGAGCCAAATTCTGAAGGAACCTGCGGCCCATTACTGAACTTCCTCCAACACAAACTGATGAAGGTAGAGTTGTCCCCAAATCCCAGGCCATTGCTCAGCCAAAGGTGAGAGTGGGGTTTGTGTGAAGGATGGGGTTTGGCAGGGTGCTCAGGACACCCTGGGTTGGGCCGCACCTCTGCTCCTCGCCCTCCAGCAGGCGCCTGTAGGTGGCGATCTCGATGTCCAGGCCCAGCTTGGAGTTCATGACCTCCTGGTACTCCTTGAGCAGGCAGGCCATGTCCTGCTTGGCCTTCTGCAGGGCCTCCTCCAGCCCTGCCAGCTTGCAGCGGGCATCGTTGAGGGCAGCCTCACCCTGCTGCTCAGACTGGGTCACTGCAGTCTCCAGCTTGGTGTTCTGGGGGCCCAGGAAAGAACAAAGTGGGTTATGCTTCATGGATTTCCAGGCTCATTACCTGGATGTGTCCAGGCTCAGCCACCCAATTAGAAATATCCCCAAAAGAAGGCTTTGCCCTGGTTGACCATGACCAGGGACTGTAGTCAGACAAAAAGAATGGAAAATGCATGGTGGGGTTTAGACAGGGCACAC